ACCAATTGTACCGAAGGGGTCACGACGACTTAAACTGTGCATTGTTTTCCTCGTAACGACAACTTGTGTTGTTTTTATATTTGTCGATTGTTGTAGGATAGAAAAGTCTCCTGTCTTTACATAAACCTCTGACCTTAACTTGTCGACTGTCGAATGCGCGGAATATAATATTTTATAATCATGAATTAAATACCATAGCGATTAGCGATGACACTCAAGAGTTTGCATCGATCGCGTTTAACAATATTTCTAACAGAAATCAATACCTTTATTACACCGCAATAGCTTATTCTAATACTTTATACAGTCATCAACACAAATAAAAACGCACTATTCAACCGCCACGGCCGAAATATTCTGGCATTTATAGACTGCCTAAATTGACAAGCAATTCAAACATGAATGTCATATTTATGTTTAACAAATTGATTAAAAATCCAAAATAGACTTTGTAATAAATTTTAACTATGAAATATGTAGACTTCGTGACAGTTTTATGACATTTTTACGCATTGTCTGTAGTTTATGCCAAATCCTCTAACTTTGGCTAGAAAGTAAAAGTTTTCTGTGTGCTTGCAAAAGCTTGTTGTTTTTTTGCACATACAAACAATTGTAATAATGGCGACACGAACGAATCAGCAGGGGACTAAAAAGAATCCGGATTTCAATCCATACAATATAACACCCGAAAGTGCTCATACTGCTGTTCTATTACTGGAATCCAAAGAACCTGAGATACTATGTCACGTAAGAGAGCGATTCTTCTTACCTTTTATTCAGTGATATTTTCTTTTTATTGAAAATTATGTTTTTGCTATAATGATATTCATCTATTTTTGTGATAATACGCATTAGTTTGTTCTTGTTAATGATACATAGATCGAACAAAGGAAAGAAAATTTTCGTACTCCGCGTAGACACAGAAGCGATTCTGTTTCAATGTGGCTAGACGCTGGTTCGATTCCAGTAGGATCGAAGGAATCTTTCATTGTGTGTTCCATCTTTGTACAAATAATAATAACTAGAGTATTTTTATTCAGTGGCGTAAACGAATATCCCGTTGTTTACAACGTTCTTTAAAAAATATCGCCTATATCAAATCTCTTATTGTGAACAGTCAGTATTATTACTTTTAGACATGGCGTGCTGAGGTAATTCATAAGATCGACAATGATGGCATCGGTTTAATTACTTGATGAAATTGTCAACTTAATTGGTTTATAGAAATAATATTACTCCTTTTTATCCTTGACAATTCGTCAACAGACTCTCCGAGCTATCACAAAGTTCGCTGCACAAGACAAAACGGACACAACAAATCGCGAAGTTCTGTTTAACCTGGACGCGATAAAATACATCCTGCAGCATATAGATCATCCTGAGCTGACTATCAAACGATTCGCGCTCAAGGCTTTAGCTCAGCTTTGCCAATTGCCACGTGGTCCTGATCAGGTTTTGAGCGATCCTGTAAATTTGAGAAGAATTGCTTTCTTGCTTAGTAAGGTGCATATATATGCGTATTTCCTTTTCCTGACTGTGTGTATAATATTCTGCATACTGACTCCTCCATCTTGCTACAACTACTTTAGTGTAAACATAACAAATTCGACCTTGACCAAAAGAACCTGAACCTTAAAAGTGTGCCATATTTCAGATGGAAGATGTTTTTGTATTGGAATTTGCATCACTGGTACTAGCAGAACTAACGACGGGAGCAAATGGAAGCGCACAGTTGGTCGATGCTAACATTCTAGGGGTTCTCTTTAGCAGAATGAAAAACTCCCCAGACCCTGATGTCCAGAAAAATTGTTTACAGGTTGGTATTTATGTTGTCAGCGCCACCGAGAGATGAGTCCATATGCGAGATTTGAGTGGACCACAAGACGGTTTACCCACGATCCGAGGCGCGCACCAAGTGACAGCTACAATATCAAGAGTGACGACTATTCTTTTCCTTTACGTCTGGCGCATCCTAGGCAACAACGTGTCGTGGTCCGTGGCTTCAACAAGTCACACCTACAATACAATTACATCCATTCATCATCGAACACAATTGTCTTTTGATCATCTTATTTAAAAATTATAATAAATCGCTCCATTGAAGCCTGTCCTGAAGCTTGCAAGACATGCAACCCAGAAGCAGAATCTAATTCCTTTTACATTACAATAGATTCGTAAATCAGGTCTTACGAACGACGACGCGTCGCGATGTAGATATAATGTTTTCTAATTTGTCAAATTCCGTTTTCCAGACATTCAGCAACCTTCTAGCGTACCCACAGTGTGTGTCAGAAGTAACTAAGAACCCTCAGTTCAGTTGGCCGTCCATCCTAGCGCTCATGCAGAGCAAATTTTTAGCCCTACAACACGCAGCCATCACCACTGTAGAGCAACTTGTGTCCAGATTTGACGATCTGGCGGTTCAGAAAACATTTAAGGCTTCCACTGGAGTTTTGGATCTTTGCGACATCCTGGAGGTAAGTGCATTTTTATTCATGTATTCGTGTTCCATTAGTTGAACCACTGAAGGAAACCTTTATTTATATTAGACCCAAGTTTTATAAGGGTAAGAACTTCAAATATGGCTATTAAATAAATTAGTATCCAGTTTTAGCTTCGTACATTAATAGACGATTGACGACGTAAGAAAATATTTTAAGAAAAATACGAAATACATCTATAAATGACGTTACCGCAACGACCGCATACAGATTCACCATCACATTCAAACTAAAACCTATGCTGTTGATATTCAGTCTTTTTAATCTGCCCTATACTTTGAAATATACTTACTTAAATAACTTTGGATTATTTCAAAGTTAAGTACTTATTACGTGCAATAGAATGTATTGTTTTGGATATTACCCAAAAGCCCAGCTCAAAAATTTCCATTTATAGCCTTTTGAACTCTGAAAGAAATGAACTAATTTCGTTACGTTGTAGATGGCTTATCTTGTTTAATTCTGTCATGGTAATTTTATCTGTTCATCATTATACCTATATTCCCTTACCAGTCCTACGAATTCCGCGACGTGCACGCCCAAATCCTCGGGGTGCTTCACACTTACGTGGGGACAGAGGACAATACGACTCATGTGTATCAGTCAGGGTGCATACTGAGATTGCTGTCATACCTTGAAATGGCGTTGCCGGCTATGAAGCCCCTCTGCCTTGCTGTTCTTACTAAAATGTCTTATTTTGTTGAAGGAAGAAATGTAAGTATAGTAGGTTCGAGTTCTATCGGGTCGAAAAATTTTTCTTTGTGTTTAACACCACTTGTTTGTTATATTTAATAATTATAACAAACTAGTGGTGTTATTTTACAAATTAAAAACAAATCAATACTACACGTTCATAAAAAGCGACATCAACGTCGGTGGTAACTGGAAAGTTACTGGCTGAGTGAGAGAAGGTTCATAAAATCTCTCACAGATGTTGCTTATGGTGTCGAAAGCCGAAAACTAACAATAACAGACACATAGAAGAAATTCGTCGGCTTGGTAACTCGACGTATAGCTTAGTTGGTAAACGAACGGGGACGGAATCCCGTGGTCGCAGATTTGGGTCCTAAAGATTTTTTCTATGTGTTCGATCTTTGTATAAAATAATTGTAACAAACTAGTGGAGTGGAGTTATTTTAATATCACAAAATAAAAAAACAAATCCATAGATTTCAAGTACATGCCTACATGTTCTTGAGATCCTCGGTTTAGCGAAAAAGTACGAAGTAATTATCCGTATACGCTGCTGTAACGTGCGCTGCTGTCATAACATCTGCGAAAATCTATTTTGTTTGTGAAAATGTGTAAGTCTTTTACCATCTCTTACCGGATGGTTGGCGTCTAAAATGGCCAAAATCTTAATTTGCTTCATTATTGCTCTAAAAAGGTTATGTTTCTCAATCCAGCCCACTGTATTAGATGTTTGAACCATGTTAATAATCCGCCATATAGATATACCTATACCTATATCCATAGAGATACCTCCGGTAGTAACATAAACAAAATTTTAAGTTTAGTAAGTCTACTGTGTTGACCCATGTTTTTCTTTTTAGGCTCTGTTCGAGACAGGTACAGATCTGGTATTCTGCCGGCTGTTGCCTACAGCTAACACGGACTTATTAGAAGACTCAGCAATGGGGGTAGCTAATATGACCAAGCTCATGCCGTCAGCCGTTCGCATGGCTGATACTAATATAATTCAGGCGCTTTGCAGTAAGTAGTTTGAGCAGTATACTTTACACCAAAAGTGAAACATTGAACTTTCGATACAAGTTGCCCAATCCGTTGAATGTGTTTTCTTCCAGTTGGCTTAAAATAAATCTTGCGATTGTGGGTTTCCGTAGAGAAACGTGTTTAGTAGGAAGTTGTTTTGATCAAGTTTTTCGCACTTTTTATCAACCAAACAAACTTCGTTTTAAAACTTGTAAAACTATCTCTTACGCGTAAAAGTACATTTGTAATAACAGTTTCAAGAAATTATCAAAAGTATATCTGAGGAAAATCTTATCCTATTTAAATTATATAAGAATGTACTATACAATGTCCGAATTTTCAAATGCCTTACTTCATTGTCTTATACTCAAATCTCGCCTTTCCCCAGCGATCCTCTCTGACGACACAACGGCATGGTTCAACGTGCGTATGAACGTGCTTCTCGCTCTCGCTGAGTTATGTAGGATCATCCCCAAGGCGGCTTTCAGTGCTGTCGAGCACAAAACCTTCTCTTCTTTAAGGGACATCAATCGAAATTGTATGTAGTGGAATTACTTAACCATCAACTTACACTAATGCACAATTGGCCATCTTGTGACAGTTTCATCCGGTTGGAAAACAGAATTTGAATTGACTCTTGTTGTTTTTTTTAATTTTACATAGACGAATAAACATTTTAAATTTGTTTGTATGCAACATTGTGGTTTATTATTTGTACTCTAAATAATCGTCTCTTCTCAGACAAAATGAACCCGATCGAGGCGCAGCACCTAGCTGTCCAGTGCTACCTAAACCTGCTCAGTTATCACGTTAGTACCAAGGCTATGCTCACTGGAGACTTCATCAAAGAGCTTATTTCCATTTTGCAGGTGAGTGTCTTCGTCATCTTCATCAATTCACTGTACATCGAAGGATACAGATCCTCTGTAAGAAGCTATATTTGGACAGAGTAGCAACTGTCCAAATAAATATATTTTATCGTTATTACTTACACATAAGGCGTGGGTGCCTAACGGTTTGAACTACTGCCTCTCAAGCAGAGGGTCGTGGGTTCGAATCCGGACTCGCAACTCTGAGTTTGTCGGGATTTATGTGCGAAATTTAATTTCATTTGAGCTTTTCGGTGAAGGAAAATATCGCAACATCGTGAAACCAGTGCATCAAAGGTTCACAACTCTCGGGAAAAGTGTCAAGTCTCCAACCCGCATTGGGCCAGCATGTCGTCCTCGGCTGAGAGGAGAACCGTGCCCAACAGTGGGGCGTATAAATGGGTTCATGATGAATGATGATGTTGTTACTTACAAATGAAAGTGATCGCGATATGGATTATGTCTTACTCGAAAACTATACCTTCTACTTTTCCAGATGCAAAGATAGATTAAAAAATTATCGGTCAGAAGTGTAAAAATCACGTTTCTACTGGAAATTGTAGAAAAAATGCCAATGACGTATGTTCATACTTGTGGATACTACTTATGTTTAAATATTTATTTCGATTTAGCTTCGAATATAGCCTACCAGTTGGAGGTTGATTTTGCTGGGGACTAACCTGCATTGACTTACGGATGTCAATAGCTAGTGATATTATAACATTATCTTTGTGATTCCAGAGACCGCACATTAATCTGAAGATAATGACGACGAATGTGCTCACAGGACTAATGGCCGAGGAAATTGCCAAATACCTGTTTAATGATCGGAGAGGCGAAGAGGTTCTTATCAATTTAATATCTCCCACCGCCACTGAATCATTACTAAAAGAAAATAATGCAGTTGGTATCACTAATTTAAGGTTCCGTCATGTATTACCAAACGACATTGTTAAAGCCTTTTAATCTATAAATATAAAAAATACTGCTGATCTTGATGGTAAATGTGTTGATGATGGTGTCTTTCCTGACCTTTCATGAAGAAAAGTAAAATTATTCTACTTTTCAAATCTGGTAGTATTGCAGACCCCACCAATTTCAGACCTATATCAGTACTACCAACTCTCCGTAAAATATTTGAAAAAATTATTCTAAATCAGATGTGTGCACATTTTTACAGTAATAACTTAATGTCTCCTAAACAATTTGGTTTCACTCGGGGTCGCTCTACAACCGATGCTGGTGTTGAGTTGATGAATCATATATTTGATGCATGGGAAGTCTCACACTATTGGTGTATTCTGTGACCTTTCCAAGGCTTTTGATTGTGTGCACCATGATTGACTGGTCAGGAAACTTCGCCATTATGGTGTGCCGGGATGTGACCTCGACCTCCTTAAGTAGTATTTGCGTGGTAGGGTACAGAGGGTTAATGTTAACGGTACGAGATCATCAGGGTCTGCAATTAGCATGGGTGTCCTCAAGGTTTAATTCTAGGCCCATTTTTGTTTTTAGTTTATACTAATGAATGACCTACCTAGTTTCATGGAGGGTATAAAACATGAGATAGGATTGTTTGCTGATGATATTTCCTTATTATTTAAAGTTGAAAGGCACCAGTGTTCCTACGATGATGTGAACAATGCTATATCTAAAGTAGCTGATTGGTTTGCTGTTAATAACCTACTCCTTAATGAGAAAAAAACAAATTTTGTGAAATTTACATTACCCAATGTAAAGAGACGGTTACAAGCATTGTAGTTAGAAACGAAAAACTGAATCTTGTGGATACAGTTGCATTTCTAGGTATAACGTTAGATGCTAGTTGCAATGGGGTCCCCATATAAGTAATTATCAAAACGGCTCGGCTCTGCAGTTTACGCGATTAAAAAAATACGGAAACTTTCAAACGTCAAACCGCTAGATTGGTTTACTTCAGCTACTTTCACAGTCTAATGACATTGGCATTTTGCTTTGGGGTAATGCCGCCGATATCAATAGAATCTTTGTCCTGCAGAAACATGCAGTTAGGGCAATTTACCATCTGGACCCCAAGTATCTTTGAGAGATAAGCTTAAGGAAATTAACATTCTTACATTAGCCTCACAGTACATTTATGAAAATGTAATTTATGTTAAAAGAAATAGTAATTTCTTTATGAAAAATAGTGACAGACATAACAATAATACGAGGAATAACAATAAACTAGCTGTTCTTGATAGTCGTCTTCTTAGGTCAAAAAATCATTTAAGGGGCAATGTATTATACGCTTCTATAACAAGATTCCGGTTGATATACAAAATTTGCCTTTCACGAGGTTTAAAACTATAGTGAAAAAAAAAACTTTATACTAAAGTTAATTAAATTGTTATTGAATTGATATTCAATTATTTTTTGTGAAATTACTCCACTAGTTTGTTATAATTATTAATACAAAGATCGAACACTCAGAAAAACAATCAGAAAAAATTACTTCGATCCGGTCTGATTCGAACCGACGTCCTCTTGCATACCGTGCCAGACGCTATTCCAACTAAGCCACGGCACGAACCAACGGACCTCACGAATTTTTCTATGTGCTTGCGTCGTGTCTTTGTACTTGGTCTTTCAACGACTTTTTAGTCGTAGCGCCATCTATGAGAAATCTATTACAGATTTATCACCCAGGTAGTACCTTTACAGCTACCAGTTCTGGCGAGAGATGTCGCTATTCACTGTGTTAATTAAATTTTTATTGAATTGATGTTCAATTATTTTTTGTGAAATTACTCCACTAGTTTGTTATAATTATTAATACAAAGATCGAACACTCAGAAAAAACACTCAGAAAAAATTCCTTCGATCCGGTCGGATTCGAACCGACGTCCTCTTGCATACCGTGCCAGACGCTATACCAACTAAGCCACGGAACGAACCAACGGACCTCACGAATTTTTCTATGTGCTTGCGTCGTGTCTTTGTACTTGGTCTTTCAACGACCAAGTACAAAGACACGACTTCTACGTACTTGAATGACAAAAATCCGTGATAGTAACCCGTTTAGCTCATGGAGGTAGTCTCAATCTCTGATGTTTCAAAACAAAGAAAAATATATGTTATAAATGTTGAATGTGTACAAATGTTATTTACAAAGAGCAACCCTAGAGTTTCAACCCTAGAGCTAGAGTTTCTTGCTCATTCTTCTCGGGGGAATCTGCCTTACGAATGAGCGGTAGAGTTTAACCATTGTGACGATTTCAAGTGTATTAATGTTTACCTATGAAATAAAGATTTGTTTGAATTTGAATTAGTTGATTTGATTGTTATCACCAGAAATTAGAGTAGCTTTAATAAAAGCTTCGAGTATATAACCAGAAATAATCATTCATTTATTTACTAACGATCGATGTTGCATTACTAACTGCCTCGGTGGCGGAACGGTTACCATGCCGGATTGCCACGCAGAGGTCCTAGGTTCGATTCCCGGGCCGGGAGGAATATTTGTATGGCTTACATTTATTTCTCTCGTGAGTTCGATAACATTATCCTATGCACAGTTCAACATGGTGGCCACTTGTGGTGTGATCAGCGTGGCGAAGTTCTGGGCTTCGATAATATCGTGTATGCCATTGATACGATAAGATTGCGGTTTAAGTTTTAATACGGATGCTATCTATTTTTCGCTAAGCATTTATTCATGCACCGCTACAGACGCATATGCATTAACACGGACGAGTTTCTTTCTATGGTACGCTGGTGCGAACTTGTGCGTGGTGATCGGTAAAAAAACAGACTGTGTGACGCTGCCTTTAGACCTTTCGTATTTAATTTATATTAATACGTCTGTCATTAACATGAAAACTTGCAGAAACGGCAACAGCGTTTATTCACTACATCTCTATAAATATGATATTACAGACGGTGGACACGAATTTGAGAATTGAGCACGTAGGCTTGCAGACGGCGTTATGCAACCTCATCATAGCCAGTGTCACTGATGAAGGAGCTGATGAGTATCTAGCACTTGGCACTATTCATTTGTGAGTATAAATTAATTTTATAAAGGTTCTAGAAGATGAGATCTTTGTAGGATGCAAGTCTCTTAATTTTATTAATGTAATAAATAATATAGGACGTGAACTGACTTATGGTTAGCCGTGTACTTGGGACCTGTAAAATGTCCGAAACATTGGTTTGTTTGAAAAAACAAATATTTCCGGCTTATATCCGTCGATCCGAGAAAAAATTGCTTGAATTCCTGTGTAACAACCTCAAAAACCTAAGAACTCGATAATAAAAAAAATATTAAAGAGAAATATTAAAGAGAAATGTCGCAAGTTTTGTAAAAATATTATTTAATTTGGCGAATCATCCCAACATTTCACAGTCACAAATCGAACAAATAAATTACAGACATATTGGAGAACTTGTTACTTTTTTGGCTTAGACCTGTTTCATCTTCATCCAACTTTTTTATCACCCTTTCCTCTGGTTCCTGGCCACTTACTTTTGACATTTTGAATCGTTCTCTAATTCTTTTCGTTCATCATTCTTATTTTGCTTCGTTCCGTCGTCACTCCCATCAAAATTCTCGACGAGAAAAGACGTGTCCTTCAATCATGTAAACCTAACTGCTTATAAAGCAGCAATATTTACGAATAGAGGCCCTTTTGGAGTAAGTGTCTACTTTAATAATAATAATAATAAAATTTTATTTATTGAGACAACTGCGATCCAATCAAATGTTAGTAGGTGCAGACTTAAAACTATATTAGTACTTATATTTTACCAGGGATTGTGTATTATGTATTAAGTGCCGCATAATTGGGCACTCATTCCTGTCAGCAACTGTCTTCAGGAGGCTATTGGGGCTGTCACGTATTCTCTTTAGTAGCGACGCCGACTTTTTACAACAGCCGTAAAACTATCTACGCGCGCGTCAGTGAACATGGCTGAGGCACTGCAGAAACGTGGCAGCCCCAACAGCGTCCTGAAGGCGTTGTTGTATTGCACGCACAGAGCATTCCGAGAGCACTGAGTGTAACTCTTCCACAGAGCGCTAGTGTACATTGGTGTGCAGTAAGCTTGAAACAATGTTTTCTTAACTGCTGCCGTACATCTGGCGAACCTGCGGACAAGCATGTTTGCTCTCACCGAGAGTGCTCTCCGTTCGCGCTGTATATCCAGGTCATCCTTGAGGTCGTCGGTAACATAGTGTCCCAAGTATCTAAAGTGGCTAACCCTTTTTAACGGAGAACCGTTAAGCAGTACAGGAAGTGCACACGTAGGACTTTATATTCATCAATAAGCATATCCGTATGTTTGTGTTTTATAGTATTGTACGTGATTTATACCATTGTTTTTTGTTACAGTCTTTCCTTCTCCTTTCCTTTTCTTTGTTTCTACATTTACAAATTATGTGGACCGATCCTTCTCCTTAATTTCGCCAAGGCTACAGCATAACGGTAGTAGCCCTGTGGAAAAACGGTTATTTTTCAACTCAAATGTCGATGGTTCGAATCCGTGTTGTATGCATGTACACCTCTAACTTTAATTTCTTAAGTGACGTTAATTTGAGAATGTTTAGTAGCAATGACTCTCGGTGAGGGAAAAACGTCGTAATAAAACCTGCATGTCAAAGAAGATAACACAACCCTTGTTCAGGTTTAGTACTAATTATTTATAAAGCAATTATAATTGCACTCTGGAATATAACAGCATGGTGGAGAACAAGGAAGCTCGCTATAAAGTCAAAGTGTGGGAGCCCGCGCTTGAGGCGATTTTTCGACATCACCCCTCTGCAAAACTGGCGTACGCCGGACGGCTTGATATCAACGATTTTACTGCGGTATTTAGTTCATTAACTCTGTTACTTTCTATACTTGACATTCCTTGTATTAAATGATGACATAATCATATCAATAAAAGCAACATTTACTATTGTGACACCTATATTGTGTATTGTGTATATTATGTATGAGTATTGTGTGAAAAGGTCATCTTTTAAGCTACTGCTCGTTTGCTACGCTGACCTCCCTGAGAAGAACGAGCAAGAAACTCTAGGGATTGCTCTTATCAAATAAACTTAAATGCTATGGAATAAACTTTTACCATAATTGTGTGGAATCTAGAGTCATGTTGTCTTTCCATACATCTTTATCTAACACATACTCTTCAATTTCAATCAAAGTAGTTATTTATTATTGATACAAAAATCGAATAAATACAGAGAAAAAGTCCTTCGAGACGGCTGGAGCTGTAGCCCCGGTATTCGCTATTTGTGCCAATAATAACAATAGCAGAGTATTTAATGTTAGTAGTTAATGTTATTTAATGAGAAAGTATAACTCAGTTTGGTTATTAATAAATTACCATACATTAAATTACATCATTACACGTGCTTAAAAAGTTAAGGTTTAAAAACTGTCCAACAAAACGGATATATTTTCACCTTTTTTGATGGATTCTTTTTATAGACGAAATAACGCCTAAGCCCTAAGTGCCATGGACAAACACATAAAATATCACAAATTACATCCAAACTCAAGAGAGAAATAAATCTGCAGTCCACTAATTAAAATGAGGTGGTCACTTGGACATAGTTATGCAAACAAGAACCAACCCACACCTCAAGTGAAATTGAGTTATGTATTTAGGTAGAACACCAGACGTGTTCTTTATCCGCTCACAAAAGATCCTGGCAATATACCAAGCTATAACGGAGAAAATAAAAGTCCTTCAGGGTACCAACCCTAAATTCGTAACTTTTTAATAGCTAAAAAGAACCATGCTGCTATATGGTAAATGGATCCATACTGAAGTACTGTAGATCTTCAGCGTTTTCATTACAAAAACTAGAACATGGTTCTCGTTAACGAAATAAAAAGATACACAATGTTTTCTATTTATTGTTATATAACATAATAGTTTCCTTATATCATTCTCAATGCTACACTTAACTCACGTTATATAGATTTTAAGACTTTCGTGGTTATTCACTAAATAATTATCACTAGTATCAGGTTTCTTACCACGGTATGACTTCTTTTTATTTTCCCGATATTTCGGAACGGTTGCACGCTCCATGGTCACGGGTTGACTGGACGGCGGCAGATGACAGCTTTATGAGCAGACATATCTGTCTACCTTCTTGCGCTGTCGACGACTACCTTCATCGCGATTTGTTGTGGCGTTACCATTGTCACTTACTTTTTTCACACAAACCACACTCACTGTATCCACACGCGAAACTGAACTCGAGGTGTTTTTGTTTTTATTACTGCACGCACTAAGGACCGGATTCCATGCACTGGACAGTTTAAAACCATCATCACGGTTAAATGTTTTGTACTTCGTGGCTAACTATATCACTCACGATAACTCACGTTGTTTGTCTCAAATAATTTACCTATTTATGTTTTCACACTGTTTTTACAAAACTTATCTCGAAATTGACATTTTGTGGATTGGTTCTAGTTTGCATAGCTACGTGCAATTATCCGTTTTAAATAGCATAAGACAGAGCACAAAATTATCTTTTAAAAACAGTTAAAATTGGTTAACGTATTCGACTTATCGAAGCTTACCCTAACGATGCATAACTGATATGTCATTTATGATATTTTATGATATCTCAAAAAATTATTTGGTCACTTAGCCAGATTTTAGTTAGCGGACGACAGAAATGTAAGCCATACAAATATTTCTATCAGCCCGCGAGTCGAACGGGGTGTGTGGTGTGAGTGGCAGACCAACATGGTAGGTGTTCGTCCACATCGGCAGTTATAATTGTAATTTTCAGTTCTAATTTTATATGAGAATATTAAGTTTTAGCGATTTTATTAAAATCGGTAGCCCCCAGAGCACCATTAGCCTTCAGCACAATCATAAAGCAAGTTACTTAGATATATAAACATTGCATAATTATTTTTATAAGCAGAAACATTTGAGCGACGGAGCGGTTGTTTTAACAATCAAGGAAAGCTGCGTCAGAGATTTAGCAGTTCGCTAAGTGAAGTTCTTTAACCTTATTATCTAAACCCACTACATAAAGAAGCTCCGTGTATAGTAGTGGAAGCACCTAAACGAATAAAAACAAATTTCCACAGGAAGGTTTTTACGTACAAAAGCGCCTTGACGACTTTTTTCCAACAATGGCGGAGATCGTCCAAACGCCCCCTCCACACCGACAACCGGTGTTCGTAATTCTGTTCTATCCCCCGCCGTTGCAGCCCCCTTCAGGCTGTGATATTCGCACCCCACGTGAGTTTTCCTAATCGACAGTTATTTTTTAAATGCATGCTTATTTCTAGGTATTTCGACAACAAAGTAATTAAAGCATTTTATCGCACACTAATTGCCGCCTTGCGCTACATTCACATAGCAGCTGCCGGATCATATTCCAGATTTTGACAGTTCTTGTTATTATATAACTTAACAGATCATGTAGGTATACATCTAAAGGCAGCTTTCCACGATCTATGGTGGTGGCAAGAGACGATTTTCGTTTATGGTAACGCAGACGCGTCAGTGGCGGCGCATGGATTATGAAAAAAGGACGGGATTTACCGTTCTGTAATTTCTATAATGTAATTATTATGGCTGTTGGTTCGTTCGTTGCTCGTGCTAGGACCTTTGTAAAATCACACCGTGAGAGGCCGCCTTAAGTTTAGACAACTCAGGGAAACCCTGTGTCGCGAGTACCATGGACACTCACATAGACAACCACAAACTACACCCAAACTCACGAGAAAAATGAATGTAGGTCATACAAACGTAATATTTGACCGGGTCCGGGAATCGAACCCGGAACCTCTGCGTGCCAGTCCAGTACGGCAACCATTTAGCCACAGAGGCAGTAAGTAAAAGTATTATAGAGTATAGTATAGACAATACATGTTTTGTTTTGGCCTTTTAATTTGAATCATTCCGGGATACTATGCTCATTTCTATCTCTACTTATCTGGTTTTATTAGGATTCTGGTCGCTTTGTGCAATTTTCATTTTTAAGATTTATATTATAATTAGGTATATATATATAATAATATAACGCACAACTCAACATAGTCCCGCACTAGGGAAACCCTGTGTCGCGGGTGCCATGGACACACATTTAGGCAACCACAAATTACACCCAAACTCACGAGAGAAATAAATGTAGGCCATACAAATATTTCTCCCAGCCCGGGAATCCGTAACCGTTTAGCCACTGTGGCAGTTACTTAAGTTCATGACGTATCGATGGCATATACAATAATGTTTGCCATATCGTGGTTAAAAGTGTAGCGATGTTGCTCACTCTTTATTAGCATCCGAACACCTTTGATACACAATGGACTTCGGGCTTCGGGTGCATAAACTGGTGATTCACTGACTTCAAAAACCAATCGTAATGATATTATCATTAGTCCAAAAGTAACAAGTTCTGTATTTTTTATGTTAATGCATTGATATATTGCAGATAACGGGTCAACATCGCATTATGAGCTGGCAGCGACGTCGTCAGGGCGAATTCGCTTCCCGCCTGTGCCCGACGACGTCAATCTGCGCACTTATTTGATGCGCCTCAAGCTGTGGTTTGGAGATCCGTTAGTACACTGAGAAAATATTTTTTTCTATTCCTGTAGACGCTTTAATCTGTCAATCATAATTTTATAAACCATATCACATCTTAAAGGCGCTCTTTTTAGTTCTGAATCAAAATTCTATTGTCTATGGCCGCAATTGGTAATTCCGAAATTAGAAGCCTCATATTTTATATTTAAATTGCCCGAGTTGGATTACACACACCTATGTGCAAAAATGTCACATGTTACCATTGACTTACAAATAAATGGACGACGGGTCTAATACAAAAACCACGAAAGAAATGCTGGGGCATTTCTTTCGTGGGGCATTACTACGTTTAAATAGGTTGACTTGGGAGTCAACCTATTTAAACGTAGTGACATGTAAAGGAATATGAAAAAGCTAAAACGTTGAATTTAAATTGTAATGTCATCGCAGTATTGTCTAATTTTGCTTGCTTCGCTGTCAGTCGAACAAACGAAGACTAAAGCGTGAATGACGCTCTGTATACGATTTTAACGCCCCATAAGTTCGGACACTTTTTAGCGCGGGCCCGACGTCCATATAATTGTAAGTCAATGTATGTTACCTTTATATCTGGGAAGAAATATACTGCTCTCCTTATCATAAATAATGCATTCACGTTTCGGTAACTTTGAGATATTGGGACCTTAAATTTTTATTGTCACCTAAACACATCGAGTAAATAACCAGATAGAGACTAAATAAGGGCCATCCATCACTGGCAAATCATGAGGCAAATGGGCCTAACATCACTTTTAAATATCAACTCTCGTTTGCGCTGAAATCACAAATTAGAAAGCTGAAATACAGCGCCAACAACTGACCTGTGTTTACGTCTCCGTGCATTCCAAAAATATTCTGCATTTATTGTAATAAAGATAATATCTTTAACAATGGGGGGCTGTTCCATTTAGTGATGTGGGAAAAAACAGCAAAACGTCTAATTACAAAACAAACGGAATCACATTTCAACGGTAATTAAATATTTAATATGTAATTTTGCAATTTTGATCCAATGTATAATAATTGAGCTTTGCTTTATAATTGCTACAAAGCTCAAGTTAAACTGGTCGATTTGAAGTGAAACAATTGACGACACCCGTCAATTGTTTCGTATTCGGGCTGGCCAATAGGAGCGCAGTGGTCACCGTAATAATTTGGCAGAATAGTTTTCAAACAAATTAAATTTTTTATTTCATTTCGTTTCTATTTCTGGTTATATACTCGATGGTCCCATCACTTAGGTCTTAAAACTCACTCTTAGGACTTTAAGAACCCTCAACTATGCAACGATTACATAAAATATATTATATTATATTATACTATACTATACTATACTATACTATACTATACTATACTATACTA